CCAACATGGTGAAACCCCGTCTCTACTAAAAATAACAACAACAACAAAAAAATTAGCTGGGTGTGGTGGCGGGCGCCTGTAATCCCAGCTACTCAGGAGTCTGAGGCAAGAGAATCGCTTGCACCTGGGAGATGGAGGTTGCAGTGAGCCGAGATTGTACCACTGCACTCCAGCCTGGGAGACAGAGTGAGAGACTCGGTCTAAAAAAAAAAAAAAAAAAAAAAAAAAAAAAAAAAAAAAAAAAAAAAAAAGAAAAAAAAAAGAATAGATGCATTCCAGACAGAAATAATTATTTGGAAAGTTAATTTGCATTGAAAGACAGTTAATTCAGATCCCTTAACCTGGAAGTGTCTTCCCTTCTCTAGTCTACATATGTTACAGCCTCATGAAGGTGAGCAGTAACTGGATAGTGTGGTTTTACATTATCCAGCAGTGGTCCCCAACCTTTTTGTCGCCAGCCACCGATTCCATGGAAGACAATTTTCCATGGACCAGGCGGAGCTAATGATTTCAGGATGATTCAAGCACATTACATTTATTATGCACTTTATTTCTGTTATTATTATTCTGTAATATATAATGAAATAATCATACAACTTGCCATAATGTAAAATCAGTAGGAGTCCCAAGCTTGTTGTCCTGCAATTATATGACCCCATCTGGGGGTGATGGGGGACAGTGACAGATCATCAGGCATGGCATTTTCATAAAGAGCACACAACCTAGGTCCCTGGTATGCGCAGTTCACAACGGGGCACACGCTCCTACGAGAATCTAATGCCCCCCAACAGTTATCAGACCATGACCCAGGGTCTACAGCATTTCTAAGCACTTCTAATCTGTTCTCTTAAGGGAATACAGTTGATGGTCTTATATTGTCATTTAGCTGCTTTGAGTGTGTTAGTCTTGTTCCCACAGCTAATATAAAATCATGAACTTCACCAAGATTCTCTAAAACGGTTTTTAAAACATCAGAAGGGAAAGAAAAACCATAAAGCCACTTCCAGGAAGGTATCTTTGAACATTTAAGGGGAAGACACAGATAACAATTCCCTGTAGACTATCAGTAATTTTTAACTTCATCAAGGTCTAATTCACAGTCTGTAACAAGGAAAGAGAAGGTGGTAATGATGTAGGGGGAATACAAGATTTTAATTAATATATAGAGGAGAAATTTAGTGCAAAAATAAATTCCAGCTGATGTTAGACAAAGAAATAAAGCTAGATTTTCAATATTAGTTCACTTAATCAAAAAACAATAACAACCAGAAACAAACAAACAAAACCCATCAATCCAGTTATAAAAACCTCATGTCATTTGAAAGATCCCTAAATGACGTCATCCCAGTTTAGTTACTGGCTGAGTGAGACGATCATAAGAAAACCAGCAGGTATTTGCCCTGTGGCCTATAATGTTGCTTTTGCCATTGTTTTTTTTTTTTTAAGGGAGAGAGAAAAAGGCCATGCCACAGCTAGAAAATTTGCCAAGTGCACTTGGCATCTTGGGAATTTACTCTGCCTACTTTGAGGAGGTCATGTAGTTCCCAAGTGGTAGACGTTTTTTTCTCAAGATATTTAGGTAAGGGACCTAATAATAATTTTAATAGCACAGTTTTCTTTTTAAAATTTTATTTTAGGTTCAAGGGTTCATGTGCAGGTTTGTTATATAGGTAAATTTGTGTCACGTGGGTTTGTTGTACAGATGATTTCATCAGTCAGGCACTAAGCCAAGTGTCCAATAGTTATTTTTTCTGCTTCTCTCCCTCCTCCCACCCTCCACCCTAAAGTAGGCCCCAGCGTCTGTTGTTCCCCTCTTTGTGTCCATGTGTTCTCATCACTTAGCATCTACTTATAAGTGAGAACATGCAATATTTGCTTTTCTGTTCCTGTATGAGTTTACTAAGGATGATGGTCTCCAGCTCCGTCCATGTTCCTGCAAAGGACATGATGTCAGTTTTTTTGTTTGTTTGTTTGTTTTTTGAGACGGAGTCTCACTGTCACCCGAGTTGGACTGCAGTGGCACGATCTCGGCTCACTGCAACCTCTGCCTCCTGTTTTCAAGCAATTCTCCTGCCTCAGCCTCCGGAGTAGCTGGGATTACAGGCACATGCCACCATGCCTGGCTAATTTTTGTATTTTAATAGAGACGGGGTTTCATCATGTTGGCCAGGCTGGTTTCAAACTCCTGACCTCAGGTAATCTACCCACCTCTGCCTCCCAAAGTGCTGGGATTACAGGCGTGAGCCACTGCTCCTGGCTGATGTCGTTCTTTTTTATGGTGGCATTGTATTCCATGGTGTATATATACCACATTTGACTTAGCCAGTGTACTATTGATAGGCATATCAGTTGATTAATGTTCTTTTAAAAAAATGGAGAAACTTTTAATACAAAGTTTTATTTGCCTTTATGGTAACCTATGACATTGGAAGGGGATTACTTGTCATCTATGCAGTCATAATCTCTTTCCTGTAAATCTGGGAAATATAATGGAGCTCCATCTTATGTATTTCAAAACTGATTAATGAATTGACCGATGAATTGAGCAATATTTCCAAAAATGAACAATTGGGAGATGCTTTAACTCTGGCATATCACATTCACACAGCCAGTGACATGATTTTCTTCAGCATATTAAATATTATATTTAATTGTGAATGTGTTTGAAAAACTCAGAGTTTAAAATAAACCTCTCAAGCTTTGGTTTCTGGGTATGATGACAAAGACCAATATGATTTGCAGAGGTCAGAAATGAAAATCAAAGGCAAACTCTAGCCAAAAAACACACAAAATAACCCCAAATGAAACCATGTAACAAGTGGAAGGAAATATAAAATGACTAAATGGTGATATGCAAGGATGAAAAGATGAGGACATCCATTAAAATTACAATTTAGATATAAGCAAAGAAAAACCATTGAGAATTAACTGTAATTAATTGTAAATTAACTGTAGCCAAATAAACGGTTTGGCAGCCCTCTTAGTAATTCTACCGTGACAATTTCTAAACTGCTGAATAAGGGTTTGTATTTCTAATTAGCTAAGTACTAGAAATATTTTCTCTAATGTGGCTCATATGAATATGTGGCATAAGGACAAAAATTTCTGTGGAACTCGAGTTTAATATAGATTAAATCCATGTTCTTTGTAACATAAATTATGAGAAATTGTTCTGATACAGTATTATAATTTCCTCGAATGGCATCTCTAGAACTTCAGACAGGTGTCATAGAATATACTGCAGAGATGTTTATGTGTTTGATTAGGGTTTTTTCCTTTTTTTTTTTTTTTTTAAAGACGGAGTCTCACTCTGTCACCTAGGCTGGAATGCAGTGGCACTATCTTGGCTCCAACCTCTGCCTCCCAGGTTCAAGCGATTCTCCTGCCTCAGCCTCCCGAGTAGCTGGGATTACAAGCACCCACCACCACACCTGGCTAATGTTGTATTTTTAGTAGAAATGGAGTCTCACCATGTTGGCCAGGCTGGTCTCGAACTCCTGTCCTCAAGTGATCCACCCGGCTCGGCCTCCCAAAGTTTTGAAATCACAGGCGTGAGCCACCGCACCAGGCCAACATTTCTCTTTTGCCAATTCTGGGCTGGCTTTCAGCATCCTTGACTGATACTAGGTCTTTGAGTGAACCCAAAACAATGATAGCACTTTGATACCATTGTTAAAACTGGAGCCTGACTTGGAAAAAAGGCTAACGGTAACAATAATGATTGCTTTCATATAGGTACCTACAATACATAAAAGCAATCATTATGTACTGCTCATGGGTTAACTTATTTAATCCTCACAACTGCCCACTTTGACATAGGAAGAAACTGAGGCACAGAGAAGGTAAGTAGCTTATTCAAGTTCATCCAGCCAAGAAGTGGCAGACTTGAACACAGGACTTCCGGCTGCAGTCCCTAAACTCTACACCTCACTGCACTGTGGTACTTTACATGCGATGGTAATTTTGTACTACGGTTGGGACATCCCCACACTTCTTTAGCATTGTTATCATGATGTTTGTCACTTTGGTCTACTTTTTTCCTGTTCTGATGCAGCAGCAGAACTCATTTTGATTTGGAGAATATGGTGCCCTCAATGAATCATCAGGAAGTCTATAAACAGTTTTAGGGGTTTTCTATGGAGATCTCATTTCTTAATTCTGACTCAACCCACCAGAATGAATGGATAATTATGGCATTTGAATCTTGCATACAATCAGGTGAATAAAAATGCTTTGCCCCATTTGCTAGAGGAAAAGAAAGAAAACTGACCACAGTTTGGGAACACATTACTTCTATCAGTAAAAACAACTTCTCCCTATACTTACTATTGGTTTGATTTTTAGGGAGATTTATTAATATTTTAGTCCTTCATAGTACTACTATTGTGCAATCCAAGAATTATGGGGGAGTTTCTGGAAATGAGAGGAAGCTCCGGGAATTATAGGCAACCAAAATTCTCAAGGCCAAACCCAAAGAGTGTTACTGATAATACACGTGTGCTTACTAGCCAGTTTTTAAATTTTCTTGTTTAATACTAATCTCATTGCTTTTGTATATCAGATTTTCCTAAGTAGTGCTCATCAGTACTAGGTTTATTTTAAAATAGAGCATGCTTAATGTACTTCACATGTCTGCAAGGGGAACGGCAGCAAATACCATGGTCCCATGGTATATATAAGGGAAAAAGAAGGCATATATGTGTTGAAAAGCCTGATGAAATCCTAACTCAGTAGGGGCACAATTACTTCATAGATTGGATTATTTTGAAAAGAACTAGCAAAATCCATTTTTGGATATATTTTGACTCTTTTTTTTTTTGAGATAGGATCTCACAATGTCACCCAGGCTAGAATACAGTGACACCATCACAGCTCACCGTGGCCTCGACCTCCTGAGCTCAAGTGATCCTCCTACCTCAGCCTCTTGAGTAGCTAGGACTACAGGCACATGCCACCATGCCCAGATAATTTTTAAAATATATTTTGTAGAGAAAGGGTTTTGCCGTGTTTCCCAGGCTAGTCTCAAACTCAGAGCTCAAGTGATCCCTCCTTGGCCTCCCAAAGTCCTGGGATGACAGGCATGAGCCACTGCACCTGCCTGGCCTGTATTTTGAGTCTTTATGTGTGCCAGCTCCCTGCTAGGTACTAAGGACACAGAAATGAATACCACCCACCCCTCCCTTGCTCTCAGAGGGCTCCCAATCTGCTCCTGTTTTCTCTGTTAAATCATTTTGCCTTCAAGTCTTGCATAATGTGGTGGCCACATTGAGATCTAGTTGAATAGTTTCACAATAACTCCCTTCAGTCAGAGGGCCTTGGTGAAATAACTTTTTTACTCTGAAATCCATGGAAATGCAAAGTTTACTGTTTTGCTCTCCTTGATAAAATATAGCATAATAACTAGTTGCTGGGTTACTACCTAAAACACAGCCTCCAAACTGCAGCCGGGAAGAGCAGTTAGCAATTAAGTAAAGGAAATGACTATGACTAGTGGGTTTGCAACCCGACACACAGCCCATATCCGTCTTAGCATAGAGAGGCATTGATGTTACTTAGGCAACTTTTATCACTAAGGAAGTAGTTTTGGTGACTCATGCTCATACAGAGTAACTCATTTCAAGTCCTGGGTGTTCAGTAACCTTACCATTATGTCTTCTTTTTGGACTCAGACTGCAAAGCTCCATTTGGATGACATAGATTTATTACTTGGTAGTATACCATGTATTGGCTGTCCCATATTTTGAAATTTTAATGGACTCATGGTGATCAGAATAAAAGGTCAGTATTTCCTACAATATATTAATATGTTAAAGGTAGAACTAACATCCTATTTTCTAAGCAGAAATATTATCATATTAACATATCTCATTAAATGTCTTAGTTGACATTTCTTGCCAATTATTTTTTATTTAATGTAACAATGCTGTTTTAAATACGTCATTATTTTAATAACTAAAATGAAATACTGAAGAATTTTATACTATGACATAACGTGCCTTATTTTTTCCCCAAATAGATGAAAAATGGAATTATAATCTCTACTGAGGGTTGCTATTACAAGAGGAAGGAATCCTAAGGAAATTCACTGGCCAGGTTCTTGGTTCAAATTTTACAGCCCACCTGCTTGATGGCCCAACAGCAATTACTTATTGACAATCGACATTTTTTTTCTGTGTTAAAAATAGCAGAGAAGTTGTAGAAATATTAGTTAATTAAAAGAGTTATAGTTTGCTAATGTGTTTGGAGAACAATATGGAAAAACTTACTGTTGATAGAAAAAGCAAGCCACAAGCCAAGGACCTAAGCTGGCTTCTGGGGCAGTGCAGGAGCATTGTGGCTTGGGCTCCAGGGTTTGCTGGGAACCTTGGAGGTGCCAGCTTCCAGTGTGGTCAGCCCAGGACTTGCCTGAATCACTAGTATACCTTTTGTCCTAATTCTAGAAATCATGCCATAAATCTCAACATTTGGACAGTGTTACTTGAGCTGTTTTCATTTTGCTTTCCATTGAGCCCTTTCCTGTTTTTAATTTTGTGGCTGGAAAGCTTGAAAAAGGCAATGAGTCATGAGAATATTTCTTTTCTTCTCCAGATAGAAGTCTTCAATGTGAGGCCCAGGCATCGGGCATCATGTGTGTGATTCATGAGCCTTGACATCTGAACGCTTTTCTGGAAGGACCCATTAAGACAACGTGTTGGGGATGTACTAGTGAAGTGATTCTCAAATGTAGTACTCAGACCTGTAGCATCAGCATCACCTGAAAATCTGTTAGAAAGTCCAGCTGTTAATCCCCAGTTTAGACCAACTAAATCTGAAACTCTGGGAGTAGGTGGGGCCCAGCAATTTGTGTTTTTACAAGACTTACTAGGTGATTCTGAGAATCACTGTGCTGGTGAATTGTTCCTGTCTGTGGCTACATAGAATATAAAAAAGTATAGGGTTGGAAAATGGGGAAATTGATGAGTGTTCGCTTATGTGGAAATGAAGAATAGACAGAAAAGCATGAGTTAACTTTTGGAGTTCAAAAAAGAAGCAATTTGTAAAAGCCAGGAATTTGATTTGCAGGACTAATTGCTTGCAGAATCTTTGCTTTCTCAGAGGGGGCAATCCAGATCACTAGGTTATCGTGAAATATATTGGTATGGTTCTAAAATTCTAGAATAATCTCACCAGTGAGAAAAGGCATACCTTTCCATATTAGGACAAAACTTCATATCAGGTTTGCAAAATCCTGTAAGACTCTTGTATCCCATTGTCGTGGACAACTTGTTTGTCTCTGGAGACCCCAGTTTCTACATCTGAAAACCATATGCATTTCTGCTCGGCATGAATTATCTCACTGAACGAAGCGAGAGATTCAAGATGTATAAGAGCATTTGTGAAGCATTTGGATTACCAAGAAATGTGAAGTATAAAGATCAAGAATGATTAACATAAAGACTGATGGTAAAGAGGTATTTAGAAGTTGCTACAAAAAAATAAGTTGCTTATTTCAGTCTCTCTTTGCTATATCTGCCTTTTGAGTGCTGACTCCATTATGTATTCATGACTTGATTTTAAATGAATCACGTTTTTTTAAAGCTTTTAATCTGTTTCCTCAACAAAAATATAGTATTAATAATATTTACTCACAGAATTGTTGAGAGAATAAAATTGATTCAATTGGCTTTCCAAAAAATATGGAAATACTGTTTTCAAAAATAAAGCAATACCATTTTTGGATATACTAGTGCTGTGACTTTTATGTCTGAGTTGAGGAATCTTAAAGGACTGTTGACATAATGACATCATGCAGGGGTTTGGAATAAGAGTATACATCAGCAAGTTTTCTGATTATACAAAGTAGCTATGTTTACTTTTCTGTTAATTCTTCAGTGGAATGTTTCAGTTTTCTCATACAATGGGGGAGATCCATTTATTAAGAGCTCTGTTTTATTAAAGAAAGCAAGTCTGGTGGCTCCTGCCTATAATCTCAGCACTTTGAGAGGCTGAAGTGGGAGGATCACTTGAGCGCAGAAGTTCAAGACCCGCCTGGGCAACATAGTGAGACCCCATCTCTATGAAATTTTTTAAAAATTTAGCTGGGCATGGTGTTGTCTGCCTGTAGTACCAGCTACTCAGGAGGCTGAGGTAGGAGGATCACGTAAGCCCTGGAGGACTAGGCTGCAGTGAGCAATAAGCTGTGATCATGCCACTGCACTCCAGTCTGCAAGACAGGGCAAGATACTGTTTAAAAAAAAAAAAAAAATTAAAAAAAAAAAAAAAAAGGCAAATTTGATTCTTTGTATCATCTGAACTGAGAAAATACATTTCACTCATTCTTTCAGGGAAAGAAGTGGGACTCTGGAGTCAGAGTACCCAAGCTAAATTTCTCAGCTCCTCTGCTTGCTAATTATGCTACCTTGGAAGAGCCTCATTTTCTTGGAGAATTGCTTGAACCCAGGAGGCGGAGGTTGCGGTGAGCCGAGATCGTGCCATTGCACTCCAGTCTGGGTAACAACAGCGAAACTCCGTCTCAAAAAAAAAAAA